ATTTTTTATCACACTGCTGACCCTCTCGCAAACATCTGAAGGTGGGAGCCTCAGATAGAACAAGGTTTGAGGTGGGTAACTGAGGAAAGATCCTCCTGAATTCTGAGTGCAATCAAATGTACTGCACAGCTGCGTAAGTGTATTAAAGCTAAAATCCTTGTCCAATTAGCACTACCTTGTACATACCAAACCTGAACGGATTACGCTTTTGCCTGAGCTAAATCAGGCAAATAAAAAGGTCATTTGAGACCATTACACAATGTACACATTGTTAGCTCCTCAGTACAGGAGCGTGTGTGGGGAATTGTCATCATAAGCAGTTACCTGCCTTGGGCGTTTAGGGGGCCAGGGAGCTGAAATTAGCTTGGTTCCCTGTTCTGGGAGCCCTGAGAATTACTCGGGATGTGGTTATGAAAGGTGGGAGTGAGGGTGTTCTTTCATTTGTTGGTCGAAAGCGCCTCCTTCTGGTAGTACTGCGTTAAAGCGAGCGCTGTACTGTGTGGCCGGGGGCTCGTCAATGATGAGAAATAGTGTACTGTAGGTAGCAGTTAAGAGTCCGCTAGGATAGTGCATTATCAGCGCAGTTCCGTAACCTTTTTGAAACCCTTTGACCACTCTTAGACGGATTGGGTCGTCCTCTTGATCTTTACAGCGCATGGAGTTTATAAGTTAGTTTCAACGCTGTTGCGTGCCAGCGGGTGAAGTCGTAGTATCCTGCATTTAGTTCAGGTTGGGAGCTGCGTCAGCGTGCGCAGTCTGCAAAGGAACACGTAATAGGCTTCTTCCAATTCTGCAGCTCAAGAAGGCCTCACAGCCGAAACGTTGTGTCTTCTCTCTTCTCTTTTCAGCAGGGAATGAACCTATCACTTGTTCCTTTGCAGATACGCATCCTGACGCAGCTCCCCACCTGACCTACTTCAACCTACTCCTGCTGCGACCCACTATGCCTTCCTCTAAATCCTTTTCTAGATCTCTTCGTCATCCCTCCTCCTCCTCCCTGGGCTGCATGCCCCTCTCTCTCACTAAACCAGCTTTCCGTCTCTTCACAGCGGTCTGTTCCAAGACCATGCTTTCTAACCGCCTCCTACTCCTGTACAGATGTCGTCGTTATAATATAAATTATAATTCCTAAAGGACTTCACGTCAAATTTAACCCTTTTTCTTTTGACTCCGGTAATACTCGGGAGACTTTTACAACTGTATCCTGCATTTTGCTAGACGATCTCGGGCACCTCCTGGAGGGGTCATTGCGACACTGCATAGTTTTATTGGAACGGGGGGGGGGTTAGGTACGTTTGTGTTCACACTATGCAAGGGTAAACAAGCGAATTAAACTGGGAATTTAATTCTAGTTTTGTTCAGGGCGGAAAAGCCAGGTAAGTGGACTGGATCTCTAAGGGAAATTCCTATTTCTGTCATACAGTAAACACAGGCGCTGAACTTCATTCATTTAATGCGATTCTCCCGTCGGCCACCAATAACAGGTATTAATAGATTTCAAGCTTTGCGCTGCAATAAAATCAAATTTGTTTCTAGATACCGTACTGCGTTTTATTCTGGATATAAATATTTTTAAAAGCGATAACCGCATAAATCTTTGTGGGGCAAAAAAAAGAGGGGGCACCCGGATTTGAACCGGGGACCTCTTGATCTGCAGTCAAATGCTCTACCACTGAGCTATACCCCCGCTCCTACGTAGACGGCTGTCTTCTCTCTCTATTTAAAGCCGCAGCAATGAAATGCGATCTCGGAAGATTATCGTGAGGATTTGATATCGAAACGCCATCTTCGTAAATATTAAACTCTCCTGGTGCTGACTGAATATATTGTCTTAGCTCTACCTGAAACGTACATTACTGATCCTCAATATTTTCAGTTCAGGGCGTGCATAGCGACCGGTACCTTGTCTGTGGCTATAAACACTGTTAACTGTTTTTTTCCCCCTAAAACTGGTGTTGAATTTTAAATTTAAACCACATAATCAAAGCCGTTCCACATGCTTTGAATGCAACGTCATCCTGTCCTTGGTGTGAATGGAGAGGCGCAGCGTGGCCACAAGGCGGCGCTTCGAACAAAGGGGAAAGACGCCCTTGCCGACAGCACCTCGGATCTTTGAGGAAGACGCAAATTTCACTCGCTACTTCTTGATCAAAACGAATATGCACTTTTTTTTCGCCGCTTCAGGTGGAAGGAAAAAAAATCACCCTCTGTGTTTGAGAACGGGTACTCTAGAGGTCTTAGCCGGAAGGCTGACTGTGTATTTTCAACAAAAACAAAAAAAAAGAGGGACGCTTATTCTTAAAAGGATGTCTGTGAGCAGCCCTTGGAAGACCGCGGCGCCCATCTGGGTCTTCAGCAGGCTGGCGAGACGCGTTACCGCCCCTTCCTGCAAACCCCCCCCCCCAAAAAAAAACACACCAAATGCGCTCGCCCGCTCCAGGCGCGCCCCTGGCCTGCGTGCCCGCGCTTCGAGCCTGCTCTGAAAGATTTATGCCGACGGACCCCGGGCAGAGGGAGGCAGGAGCGTCTTCTCTTTATATGCGGGACGCTTACGGGTCTGTCTTACAGGACGAAAAGAACACGCCCTGGGGGACCGACAGCCAAAATCACCCCGTGCTTTTTTTTTTGTCAGAAAAAAAAAAATCCTTCTTGTATGCGTGTGTTTTTAAGTGCACATGGGCGCGCTCCCGCGGGCCCGGCCCCCTCCTCCTCGGGACCGCGCAGCGCCCTTGAGCTGCGCTCGCTCCCGCCGTCTCGGCTTGTTCGCTGACAGCCAGCGGTGCGAGAACACGCCAGCGACAGCCCCGTCCCTCCCGGCGTGGACATACAGCTGCCCCGCAGGACGACCAGCCAGTCCCACGCCCGTGGCTTCAGCCCGACGCAGTCGTCGTTTCGGGTTTATTTTTCTATTTTGTTTACTTTTTGTTTCATTTGGCAGCGCCGCCAGGGTACCCCCTCTCACCCTCCCCAGCCAATATGAATCCGTCGTGCAGCAGATGTAACAAGGTGGTGTACCCGACTGAGAAAGTGAATTGTCTGGACAAGGTAAGGGACACGACAGACCCGCCGTTCCTCCCCTGCGGTGTGTGCCGTACGTGCTTCAGAAAATAAACTAGCGCCCCTCTTCGAGCAGGGGGGATCCTTTGCGATTTCGGCTGGGGGAAAGCGGGGAGCGGGCACCGGGCACCGGGCGAGCCAGACTGGGATGTGCAGGGAAGCAAACCGCGTCAAAGTGGGATTTTAGGAAAAGTTGGGCGAAGTCGGTCGCTGCGGTGCCGGGCGGCAGTGTCCGTGCGTGGGGGGTGGTGGGGGCGCCGCTCTGTTCCGCCCCGGGCTCGCTCGGTCCCGGGGTCCGGCGTTCAGACGCCTTTTTCCGCCCGGGCAGCCTGCCTGCCTGCCGGGGCTCGCCCGTGGACCGTGTGCGGGGACAACTGCGTGGGGGTGGTCGCGGAACACGCAGGGAGCCCCCGCCCCCCCCAGGCGCCTGCCACAGCGACTGTAAAGGGCAGGCGAGCTGAAACAGGAACCATTTTGTAGGAGACGGAGGGGGGGGGGAGTTGAGAAGTAACCGTTTGTTGGTCCGCTTCCTGTTCTGAGAAAGTGAGGACGCGGTGTAGCGCAGAGGCCTGGTCTGGTGCGGTCCCGCAGCCTACCTGCGGAGTGGATTTCACAGCCTGTGGGTTCATGGAAAAAACAAACCAAAAAAAGGATTTCATGACACCCCCACACACACACACATATATATAGTTTCAAGAAGCATGGTTCAACTACAGCTGGGTTTATTTTATGTGTGTATAGATCTAAAAACTCGCTGTGGGTACGCGCCCCACCCCCGCCGGTGTGTGGAGATGTTTTTCACGGCCAGGTGGGTCGCGCGTCCCCGGGACGGTTTCTCAGCCCGTGTCCGTGTTGGCACTCCGGGTGTGGGTGTGGGTGCCTCTCCGTCACCCTGTCTGTAGGGTCGCGGGCTACGAGTGAGCCCACTGGCTCCAGAGCTGCATAATGTGTGTTACCTGCTCGCTCTTGTGTATGCGTCTTGTTGTGTTGTTGTTTTACTTCAGACGGGAGGTGTGCGTGGGAGATTGCTAAAAGGCGCGTTGGAATTTAAAAGTTTAAAGAAGTTGAATTCTTACTGGGACACTCGTCCCAGAGGGCGCTCCCCCCCAAGTCCATGGGTGTGTGTTTGGGGGTCATGCCTGTGCGAGAGGCGAACAGACACCGGTGCCCAGCGGGGATCTGTCTCGGTGAAACTCCCCCGCAGATGATGGAAACACCCAGCTGGTTTCCTGGTGTTATCACGCTGCCGGGGCTGGGTTTTGTAAGAATGAAACTGGTTCTGCACAGGTACCCGGGCGGCTGGTTCCGATCTCCACTCGCCCGCTGTGTTTCTAAGGCGTTTCTTTCACTGTCCTTCCGAAAGCCTTTTCCTCCCCCCCTTCGGTCTTCAAAACGGCTATGTCGTTTTTAAGATACCACCCCGGATACTATTCGCTTTAGTTTGCCTTTCGGGGATCTAGAGGGCTTAACAGTGAAAGCGTTTGTACTGTATGTGGGTCGTTATGACTTTCGGTCCGTAGCTTTTACCTGACTGAAACGATCTCTGTGTCTGGCTCTGCGGGCGTGTGTGTGAGAGAGAGGGGTGCTTATTTACAGGTTTAGCAGGCGGTGTTCGAAAGGGGGTGTCAGTGTGTCTCAGAGGACACTAAAATTCAATTACCCATTAACGAGGAGTCGATAGCATGTGTATTAAAAGCGCTTTAGTTCATAGTCCCTGGGGACGCGAGAGGCGGGGAGGGTTGGAGGACGGGGGCCGCGGACGCGCTCTTGGTGCTCCACAGAGCCAGGTGACGGGTTCCTGTGTGCGCGCACGTTCAGGTGTGTGCGCGACGTGCCGCTGAACGTGCTCGCTGATCGCTTCCGCAATGGCCCGCGCTGGTTTACCGTTTGCTCCGATGGGCCGTGCGCACGCCTTTCACCACACACACACACAACGTGGAGCGAAAGCAAAGTCTTCTCAAGGTCGCTTTACTGGGGCTTAGCTAACGTTGTAGTCTCCATCTTTGGAGACCCATTTTTTTTTTAAAAAATATAGAAATCGTTACGAAACAGGATGTGTGCTCATGGTGTGCAGAGACCGTGCTCTGCCAAGCATGACAAATGCAAGCAACACCCACCGAGGCTGTACTGAATAACGGCTCACATCACCATCAGTGTACAGCGTCCGTGAGTGTATGTAAACCTGGGAGCGTTTCATCCCAGCGCGGTGGCTCTCTCAACCTCAGGGTCCAGGGTTCACTCCCGGGCTCCTCCTGGGCGGAGCCTGCACGGGCTCCAGGCGTGTGTGTGTGTGGTATTGTGTCCAGCTGCTCCCGTTCTCCGGCCTGCTTTGCACTACCCCTGCCTCGGACTTGTGCCCCTCTGCTCCCTGTGTCTGCGAGGCAGGCTGCAGCTGGCCTGGACCCTCGTGGGCAAGCAGCCTACGGAGAGTGGACAGACCCTTTACACTGCTAACGTACAGCTTTTGACACGGAGTCGAACAAGTCCACACAGTTATCGATAGGGCAGGAAGGCCGGTATGGCGGATCAGCACTGCTGCCTCACAGCTGGGCCCTGTGTTCAGGTCCTGGGGTGCTGTCTGTGTGGAGTTTGTATGTTCTCCCTGTGTTTGCATGGGTTTCCTCTAGGTGCTCCTCCTCCGGGTTATTATGTGGAATTTACTCCATTCTTAGCTCAATGTTTCCAGGTTCTGCACCCAAGGCTTCAGTGTAGGCAGAGAGAATATCGGTGAATGTCCTCTTTCTCTGTGCTTGTCTGCGTCAGGCCATGCGTGTTGCACAAATGGCCAGTGTTCTTGATGCTGGTGTGTTTGTGTGTGCTCTGTTTTGTGTGTGGTGTGCGGTCAGGACGCTGTGTTTTAATGTGCCAGTGGTTATGTAATTATATATTTATGCTGGTGCATACTGTTCTGTATTTAGGGAGATAGCTACATCAGAAATGGGCTCAGCTGAAATGGAACATGTGCATCCGAGCGTGATTGAGTAGCCTGAGTGCAGATAGGGTCATGCTCCAGAGCACATGAAAGGTGGAAAAAGAGCAGGCTCTCTCTCTACGACAGCCTCCCTGCTCCTGTGCTCCTGTGTGTGAGCGTGTGTCCAAGTCACGGAGCATGTACTGCGTGTGTCACTGTCGGCCGTCCGGTCTGCGCCCCGGGCCCCAGGTCAGCCCCGCCGCCGGCCTGCGGAGCGGTACGCTGACCCTGTGTGTCTGGGCACGGTGCACGCCAGCTGTGTGGTCTCCGTCTGGGTCTGTGTTTGCGTGCATCTCTCTCCGCCTGTCTGCTAGTCTGGGAGATGGTGCCAGCCATATTGTCTCCCCCCCCACATGTGCTGCTGTTGATGGAGTGTTTTTTGGAAAAGCACGGCACCTCCTGGGAGGAAGGCCAAGAGAATCCCTGCTTTTTGCCAGAGTGTTTGTCTGACAAGCTGTGCGTCGGGTCGGGGGAGACGGGCGGGCAGGCGGGCCCGCGTGGGGCCCGGGGTGCGGTGTTCGGCCGTGGAGCGTGTCGGGGTGCACCGTGGCCCCCAGCCCTTCTGTGTGTGCCGGGGGTCCTGCGCAGCATCTCCAAACCCTCCGTCGGCATTTAAACAGAGTGACGGCCGACGAAGCCAACAAAAGCTAGTTCAGGAAAACGAACACAAGCATCAGTATGTCCTTGTGGAGAGGAACAGCTGTGCAGTTGTACAACAGTTATGGATACATGTTTTATACCGAAACAGTGCTTTCAGGAAATATTATATATGTCATTTTGCATGGAGAAGGCAGCTCGGTGAGGCTGTGGTCAGCGCTGCTGCCTTGTAGCACTGGGACTCTGGGTTCAAGCCCAGACCTGGGGTGCTGTCCGTGTGGAGTATGCATGTTCTCCCCATGTCTGTGGGGGTTTCCTTTGGCCGCTCTGGTTTTCTCCTGCAGTCCGAAGCCATGCTGGCGGGTTACTTGTCTTCTGGGAGAATCAGCCCTGCTGTGCGTGCGTGCGTGCGCCCTGTGGTGGACTGGCATCTCATCCTGCCTCGCGCCCGTTGCTCGCTGGGATAGGCTCCGTCTCCCCCATGACCCTGAACTGGAAGAAGCCGTTGGATGATGGACGGATTGCGTGTGTGAAGGCGTTTCAGAGTCAGTCCCATGTCGTGAATGGATTGTCTTCAGCGGGCTCAGTGTGGAAGCCTGCGCTCGGGTCCGAGTGGCGTGCGAGCCCTGCGCGGGGTCTAGACCACCCTCATCCTGCGCCGTGTGGGAGAGACCGTGTCGGCCTGGAGCGTGTCCCCAAACCAGGACCCTCGGGGCGCCCTGCCCTGCTCCATGAGGAAACTGACCTTTTCATAGGGCTGCACCCAATTGGGGAATGTGCCTTTGTGACTCAGGTGTGAACGTCCTTATTTGTATCACATGCTGGCCCTGTTAATGTTTTGTGTAAATTTGCAAATAACTGTCTGCAGCCGCTCAGGTTTGTTCTGTGCGATATGACACTGCAAGGCGCGCGGGCTGTCCTCAGCTCTGCGCTGTGCTCGAGAGGGACTTGGTGGTTTGAGTCTGGCCTGCCAGTTCCATGCTCCTTCCCTGCCTTTGGGACTGGCACTGTGGCATGTTGCATCGGATGGTGCACGGCAGCGCCCACCTATTGGAGCACCCTCACTCCTCTGCCCTTACCTGCCCTCTTCCTGCCGCCCAGCTGGGTGGAATTCCACGGGGCGGTTCTGGGAACACCGACCGGCCCCAGCGCGCGCTTCTCTGCAGTTCGAGATCTGTGCTAGAGATCTGTTCCGAATAGCACCTTGGCACTTATCCAGCTTTCCTTTGCAAGAGTGTGTGGCTCAGCCATGTGAATGAATAAAACAGGCTTCAGTCAGGAGCTTGTGGATCAAACACATGGCCTTTCAGGGTGTGTCCTTGAAAACTGGAGAGCAGCCCTACAGTGCCATTAAGCCTTTGTTTCACAGTCCTGCTCTCACTAATAAATAGGTTTTCCTTCCAGCTGGGTGCTCTGTTCA